CAGTCAGGATCATTTGCCTACTGTGTACTCCTACAGTACAAACCCTGTGTGGTACCTCGGCCTTGCAGACCCCTGACTGCAGCCCCTTGCTACAGCCTTTCTCCTTTTCCTTACTACACCCTTGCATAATAAACATAGCAGTATAGGCAGTGCTGGCTGTACAGAGATAAATTTCCTTTTACTTGGCCTAGAGAATGCAAGAGGAGATGAGCTAAATGGCTGACGTGACCCATGGACAATGGTAACACTCATGTCACCATCACCCCTTGTCCCACTAACGGCCAGCCCTGAGGCCAGTTAAGCAACCCCTGAGGAAACAGGACTCAGATATGGGATCATGTCAACACTGAAGCATTAAGGTTTGGAACAAAGTCTTTTCTCAGCAGTAAAATATTGCTTGAAGCTACACACTAAGCTACCCATGAAGCAGATATGGAGAATGGATAGTTTTGTGCCTGAGACACGAACACCTTGTTCCTGATTGCTAGCGGCTCTGCAGAGGTGACTCTTCCCTCACATCCAACCCTCACCCTCTGCGCATGCTCCGCTCATGGCCCTGTTCCCTGCGCATTCAGTAAAAGCTGAGGCTGCTGTGGAGAATCTCCTTTGTTGCTCAGAGCTCCTGGCCATGCCAGAGCCCTTTACAGCTGCAGTTTTCTTTCAGTTCCTTTTTCAGCTGCAAGCCACATCCTGAGTAAGAGACTGAAACTTCCCTGAGGGTCTCCAGGATCTGGAGATCCCTCTTAAAACCCCGAGAGAATGTATGAAAAATGCTGTAATGAGTACTAGACCGGAGCATATTGTTCCTGGAAACATAAATTTCAGCTGTTCATTGACAATGCTGAACCAAGTGGGGGAAGAGCTCCTGTTTAAAACTGAGTTAATGACAGGAAAATACAGAAATGACATAACAAGAAAAACTAAACCTGTTCAGACACGTACAAAAATTTTAAAGGGTTGTAATAAAACAATGCTTCAGAAGCTGGAATGCATGGAGACTCTTCTCATTTTCCAGAATAAGCAGACTAAGCCTGTAAGTAGAGGGATTTACTCAATAATTTATATGCTTAAGGTCATCCTAATCCTTTCCCTTGTAACAATGTAAAGCTAAAAGTATTATTTTGGGCACTTAAAGTTACAGAAAAATGCACCTGAAAGTATAAAAATATAAAAGTAGATATGAACATTGAGCATTCTTTTATAAATAATGTTAAGAAATTGGTTTCATGTGAATAAGTCATAAAGTTAATGAGACAAAAACAGATTCCACACAGATTATGTAGCTAAAACGATTTTTTAAAAGTTTGGGAAACAGGTAGGTGACTATGACTGATTTCTCCTTAGGAAAGATGCTCTGAAAATGACAGCGGTGTTGGAAGTCTCAGAGAGAAAACTGTGACTACAGAGAAAAAAAATCTTTGGTGTTAGTGACTTTTGAATCCCTGGGACTCAAGTACCTGACAGCCACAACTTAAAGAAGGAGAGGGTTATTCTAGGTTATAGTTTGTAGAGGTTCAGTCCACAGTTGGCTGCCTCCAAGGCAGGGCGGCATGGCAGAGGAGTTTGCTCAAGGCAGGGAAGCAGAAAGCAGAGAGATCAAGGGAGGAGGAGGGAGATAGAGTCTCCCAGCCCAAGACTCAGTGACCCACCTCCTCCAACCTGCTTCATCTCCAACATCACATTTAGCTGTAAACACACCAGTGGTTTAATCCACTGAGAGTACTATGTCCCCAGGATCAATCACCTCCCTGAAGCCCCACCTATGAGCTCAGGAGGCTATGGGCGGACATCTCGTTATTAAATATAATGCCTGCTTATATGGAATGTGTGATTCCAAAATTTAAAGACAAGCCACAAAATTAGAAAGAAATTATTGAACAGAGATCTTAGTTTAAAAAGGCAAAGATATATTTAAAATTTAATAAAATTAGCAACCAATAATCAAAAATGAGATGTGTGAATGGATAATTCATAGGAGAGGAAAATCAAGAGCCAATAAATACAGGAAAAAGTTCTCACCAATAATAAAGAAATGCATCGGGTTTGTGTCACTGCACAATGCACGATGCAGGGATGTCTGTATTTACAGAAAAGGTTTGGACTGTGGTTTGAATGTGTCCCCCAAAGGTTTGAGTGTTGGAAGGTTGGACATGAGGGTGCTGACTTTCAAAAGTGGTGGAACATTTGGAAGGGGGAGCCTAGTGCAAGGAAATCAGGTCACTGAGGGTGCTTCCACGGGAATATGCAAACATGTGTCCAATTTCTGCATATACTCCCAGGTGTGCTCTCCCTTTTCCTAGCCCATTCCATTTGAGATGAATGAGCAGGTCCATTTCTTTGCAATCACAAACAAGGCTGAAGTGAGCACCCAAGTCTTCACATTTTCATGGACATGGCCAAGGACACCGTTGAGAGGTGCACCCTACTGGGCCCGGGACATATCCACGGGGCACTGGCAGGACTTCCTAGGTGGGATGTGTCCCTTTCTAGTCTCAGAAGGGCCCTACTGCCCTACTTCCTGATTACTACTGTATTATCCAATCTCCTGTCTGAAGCCAATCTAAGCATACAGCAGTATCTCCTGGTACTCTGTGTGTACATCTCTGATTATTTATTCCCTGCCTTTTTTGTCTGAGTGATAGAATTCTTTGTATATCGTGTGTTCATTCCTTGTTGATTTTATAATGTTTTCTTCTGGTTATGAGATTCTTTGTGCAATGGATCTGATATCCTCAAATTGAGTAATTTTCCACCTTATACTACTTTTTTACCTACTATTTTTCAGTTTTAACTATTGTTAACACATTTTTTCCAATTCAAAAACAGTTACAGGTACTAGAGCAAGTAGGTTTTCATGTGTAAAAAATTGAAATTGGATGCCTACCTGGCTCCATATACAGGATCTAATTCAAAATGGATCAACAATTAAATATAAGAGCTAAATGCAGAGAACTCTTAGAAGAAAACACACAGGGATAAATCCTCATGCTGCTGAATTTGGCCATGGGAATATTAAAATGTGACTCCAATAGCATGAGCAATAGCAATAGCAGAGTTAGATAAGCTGGACATTTTGAAGTTAAAAGCTTTGTGCCTCAAAGAGCATTATTAAAGTCAAAAGGCAGATTAAAGATGAAAGAAAATTACTTGCCAATCATGTATTTGATGGACATCTAATACCAGAATATGGAATGAAGTCTTTTAACCACAAGAACAAAAAGACAATACAATTAAAAATGGGCAAAGGGCTTACATAGACATTTTCCAAGCAAGAATTCAAAGGCCAGTGAGCTCCTGAAAAGATGCTCAATGTCAGCAGTCTCTGCAGATCTCCAAATCAAAACCACCACATTACTCCAACCCCCATAAGGATGGTCATAACTTAGAAATGAAAAGAAATGCGCAAGGAAGTTGGAATCCTATACCTTCCTGGAGGGAATGTTACATGGTTCAGCCACCATGGAAAACAGCTTGCAAATTCCTGATGAAACTAAATATAGTTAGTATATGATCCAGTAATTCCTTTCCTTCATGCTTGAGTACATGTGCAAAGGAATGGAGACCAGGTATTGGAACAAATACACGTATATGCAGATGAACAGCAGCGGTATTTACAAATAAGTGAATACAACAAAAAACCAGATGGATGAAACGTAAAAAATTATGGTGTATTTCTGCAAGGGAATATTATAAGTCATACAAGGAATAGAGAACAGATACATGCTACAGTGATGAGCGCACCTAGAAAATACTACACTAAACAAAAGAGGCCAGACACAAATGGTCATCAATATGCTTTCGTTTATATGAAATGTTCACAGCAGGTAAATCAGAGGGAGAAAGCGGGATGGTGATGCCCAGGGCTGCAGAGAGCAACAAATGCGGGTTCCCTGCTTGGTGGGCACAGCTTCCTTTGGGACAATGAACACTTCTTGGAACTGGATAAAGGTGGTGGTTACATTATACACAGTGCACTGTTTCAGATGGCTAACTGCATGACGTGAGCGTTGTAAAGAATGAAGCACTAAAAGAGCACAGTAAAGTTGGTGATTCTGACCACTGAAAGCAGTTAGAGCTTGTATATGATGAATAAGTTATTAATGTAGTATAAGCGACACACAGGTGAGATGGAATCTGAATCCCGGGGACTCCCAGGTCTAGGTGGGGGACTTCCTAAGAGGACAGAAGATTAATAATTAGAGCAAACACCACGAATGGCTGCAGTTTGAATTCAAAGGTGCACATCAGGTTCCGAAGAAAAGGAACATTTTCCTGAAGAAGATGACATCCGAAATAAATTTTCAGCGCTGAATGGTATTTAACTGCTAGAGTTGGAGATGGAGAAATCAAATCACATGTAAAAACTTGTCATCCCTAGAAGACTAAAGAGATTAAATAGTGCAACCTGCTGCCACAACAGCTGTGTGAATTGGGCACAGACCATCAAAGCAGCTGCTGAAGAAGCCCGACTCTGTCCCGGGCCGAATGCCGTGTTCTGCACAGACCTGGTGAACAGCAAATGTCCAATAAAACAAAATTCAAATGTGCACTTCTTTAAAAAGTCCAGGCAGCAGGAAAACTGTCACAAGAATAGTAATAGCCAGCAGCATGGACTGCTATTTAGAAGGTGCGGTTAAGGCACCTGTGTGATAGGGTTGGAGGTTCTAGGAGGCGCACTGAGTACAAGAAGAAGCTCGCATGGTGAGTGCCAGAGGTGTTTGTGACCATCCAGGAAAACTGCGGCTCTGCTCCAGGATCTGTTCTGCACCCCGCAGTCAACATGGTGGTCTGCGGTCCCGAGATCTTGGTCAAGTGGCACAAGTGAGTGACAGTGCAGGAGAGAGGAGCACGTGTGTGGTGGGCTACCCTGACAGACAGTCAGATGCGTGCCAAGCCGCCTTTAGGCAGCACTTTGCTTTTCTAATGAGCAAACTTCAAGGGGTTTGGATGGGGTCTGGGGACACAGAAGGAAGTGCTTGCATGCACAGGGGGTGCACCCCTCATGGAGACGAGAACCTGCCACAGAGCAGCAGGCTGTTGGTGCTGTTGGGCCTGATGAAGAACAGGAAGGGGTGGTCAGCACGGAATATCGGCAAAAGCTCACCACAGTACCATGAAATATCACACTGTGATGGCACTGCAGCCTCCGTGCCTTCCTCGCTGACCTCCACCACACTCTTGTGCACGAACCTGGACACACACAGGTCGCTGTCGGCCAACATCCCGGACAGGTCGGCCTTGCCAGGATGAAAGGCGTCCACCACGCCCAGACGCTGCAGCACAGAGCCCATGTTGTAATCCTCTTGCAGTTTAAATCTCGGGAGGAAAACTTCCACTTTGGTCCTCTTCATGTGCTCTGGACGGGTCCAGGTTTGGAACTTCTCAAATGTGAGTTCTTTTGCCACCTGAAAGACCAACGTTGGGCTTTACCATTCAACCTTCCGTGCCCGTCCACAGTGGTCCCTCCTGGGGGATCAACTCGTTCTCCTGTGACCTGCCGGTGGTGCCCACTGTCATGCGCTGCCCCTCAGCTGCCGGAAGCTTGCGAGGGCTCTGCTTGGCTTGCTCCCTGGAGCTGCGATGCCAGCACAGGAGTGGACTGTGCCTCCTCCCCCCACTGCTGACAAGCGTCCTGGGAGGTGGCTGCGGCTTGTGGGCATTTGGGCTTTCTGAGATTTTTGGTTTTTTGAACGAGGCTTAGTTCACAGCAGACAAACCACTCTGGGGAGCAAAGAAGAAAGGGCTGTGGCTGTGAGCCACCAGGGCAGGGCCTGAGGCTGTAGGGAAACGGGTCTGTCTTCAGGGAAAGAACAGCGTGAAGGCCTCATTGGGCTTTCTAGCTAATCCTGACTAGAGAGAGTTAAAGCTTTGTAGAGGAAGTCCCTTGGACGCAGTTACAAGGACAAGTAGTGAGAAAAAAGGAAAAACCAGACATAAAGACAAAGGTAGCGCAGGTGGCATTGGGACTGACACCAGTGGGAAAGCAGACGGGCTGAGCACAGAGAGGCCAGGAACGCAGAGCCAGGAGTGTCCTCCCGGCCCAGCATAGGGCACAGGAGAGGGCAGCAGGGACCCTCTTTAGGGAGAACCCCTGCTCAGAGGGTACAGTGTGTCCCCGCACCTATGCAACTGCATAGGTATTTTCTCCTCTGTACGGTCGCTGTGTCACTACAGCAGATACACACGTCACCCACTAACTCGAAGCTGACTTTCTAGAAAGCCCCTCCCAACCAACCACCTGCTCTTCCCTGAGATAAAGACCTGGAAGGACAAAGGGACACAGAGAAGTCAGACCAAGCCCACTAAAGAAATGTTCACATAGGCTTCCATGCCTCATTTAATCCAAGGACACCAAGGGGAGCCAATCTAATTGTGACCAGTGTCAGAGGAGTGAGGGTCCCCCAAAACATTATCAAAGAAGCCAAGGACAAAGGCCCATGGGCTTCAATCTTTCCAGGCCTCCTGTCCTATCTGGGGCAGCTGCTTATCTTCTGCTTTTTCCTCCTAACAAATGCAGGGTCTTCCTCTCTTCAGCTATGTCCCTCTAGCTCATTCTTGCTGCTGAGTTTAGTATCCCGGTAGCTGCTCATCCCAGGGGAGCTCATTGCTGGGCACAACAAGGTGGGACTCTGAGTGGCTTTCCGTAGAGAGGAGGACAGACTGATGGCTAAGGGCTGGAGTATGTTTCAGTGCAGTTCTGGTGAGAAAGGACACAGGGATGTCAGCAGATGGTCCTGGCTGGGTGGCAAACACACACACACACACACACACACACACACACACACACACACTCCATTCTCACCGTGCTGAGGTCCACACCTTTGTCCGGGAGCAGCAGGACCATGCTCAGCTCCTGGCCCACATAGGGCAGCTCCAGCACCCGAGCCCTCAGCTCGCTCACGTGGGCCCAAGGAAACGTGGCTCTCCGGAACATCATCTGCCCTGGCCTCTCTTCTTTCTGACAGGGTGAGCAGAGGGGCACGCATGTCACATGGATCCTCCAAGGAGCAAGAAAACTGCCCAAAGAGTTACCCGAGTGCTTCAGCACCCACCAGGGAAGCGGTATTTGCTCTCCAGGTAACCCCTGGGGCCACCTCAACCAGCACTTCCCACGGACATGAAAAGCCAAGGAGTGCGGGCAGAGGCAGGAGCAGCCTGGGGAGACGTCCTGGCCAGCAAAACAAAACGGGAAGCTCCGAATTTTCCAGGTGCTATTGCTGGGCTCTGAGAGGCCCCCTTAATTCTATAGGAAAAATAAGTGAATCATCACATAAACTGCAACTTATTTTAAAATGGAGGGGTAATCGAGCACGCATAAACATTTTAACTGTATTCTTACTAATTAGTTTTCTGTTTTTCCACAGCATTATAGGACTTTGCAAATTATCTTAACTCTGCTTGAATTGAAGTTAAAAATGTCAGTATGTAGGTCTTTGCCACGTGGTTTGAATATCAGAAATTTCCAAATAGTGAATTAATAATTTTCAGGTTAAATGACAATTCAAATGAATTTTATTTTAATTTAAAGTTACTTGATGAAAGATAATGCTTTCACCTTTTTCTTGACCCTGCCCAGTGCCAAATACATATATCACACTATCATAACACTTTTTTTTTTTCTTCTACCTAGGCAAGTATGACTTAGGGGAAAATTTTCACTTTTCAGACTAAGGTTGTAGCAGTATATGTAGGAGAATTTATGAGATAGGAATTATAGTTGCTTATGCAAAAACTTATAAGGAGAAAATACTCTTTACTCCCATAAATTTGTTGTTTTGAATTTATTTATTCATTTATTATTTATTGAGTCTTTTTGAGCTGGGTCTCACTATGCAACTCAGGTTGGCCTTGAGCTCATCTTATAGCCAGTACTGGTCTGGAACTTGCAATGATCCTCCTGCCTCAGCTTCCTGAGTATTGACATTACAAGTGTGCGCCACCACACCCTACTATGCTGTTTTGATTTTAAAAGTCAATTCAGAAATATATTGCTTTAAAGAATTTTTAACCACTTATTACCTTAGAAAGTTAAATTCTTTTATTCCACATCTTTATTCAAAGATTTTATTTAAAGCTTCTCCCTACCCGGTTTATTTTGAAAGGCATCAGTGTTGTGTTCGACTCTGGAAACTGTTCCTCCCACCTTCCTTTGAAGTAGACACTGTTAATGAGAACCAGCCTGCAGTACTCTCCAATTGAATCTTTTGCCAACAACTCTTCAATTTTGCCTTTTGAGAAAAGCAGAGACTACATTCAGTGGCTCCTTATACACACATGATGGACAAACTCTAGGGCAGCATCCTGGCAGATTTAAACATGATGATTTCTAACTAGCAGAGTTAGGATGCTATGAATTAAACAGTCAGAAACAACTATAATGAGAGGTGTTCATGCACACGGACACTGGGGAGCATCCACCAAATGGAGGAGGTGACAGGCTTCTGAGTCACTCAAGGAGAGCAGCTGATGAGAAAGAAAGGGCAGCTTGGAGGTCCAGCAAGCAGGACAGGAGAGATGCGCTGGGCAGCTCTGTGGTCCCTCAGGGGTTAAATGCAGTGTGAGGTCTAAGGCTCCGTGCTCACACCCAGAGCTAACACTGGGCAGAGAGGAGTCAGTGTGAGGGGCGGCCAGAACAGGACCAAAGGGAGGGAGGGGCTGATGGGCACATGAGGGGCTTCTGGGAGCCCAGGGAAGAGAGATCACTGCTGATCCCCAGACAGAGCTCCAGGCATCCCTGGGGAAGATAAAGTGGGTGAGCTGGACTCGCGCCTCTTCCCCTGGATATCCAGGCCTACTTTTTCATGGAGTAAGAGTATCCTTGCCAACTGCTGTTTCAAGAGGGCATAAGTGGTAGAGATTCCAGGAAGAATGAGGGGAATAATTGCTGAGTCTTCAAGGGAAACTACCTGAAATTTGCTACTGTCTCATTTGTTAGCAGAAACACAAGTACTCACAGTGGGGCGCAAGTGTGTGAATGGTTCACAGGAGCAGACTTCATTGATCTCAGGGCCCGGGTTGAAATATGTCACTGTCTGAACTGGAAGTGAATGAGGATCAGGCCCAAACAGGGAGGAGGGGACAGGAGGAGAGGCGGGGAGTCAACATGAGTGGAAGGAACCGTTCATGCTGACCTTCAGTCTTTCTGGACACCCAAGCATTGGTGTGTTTCCTGCACCTCTCTGCATCTTTGGTAAAGGACAGCTGCTCCAGCCCCGCCTGGTAGAGCTGCAGACAGGACTCCTGAAATGACTGTGGACACAGACACAAAGGGTGAGGCCAGGGAGCTGCTCCAAAGCTCAGCAAGCTGTCAAGCACTGTGAGTACCACCTGGCTCTTTGAAAACTTATACATGTATCTTGGAAGACATCATACTGAGTCTACGAGATGTCAAACACCAGTTTCTAGGCAGTAAGGTTCTGAGTCTGGAATAACTGGAGAGGAGTAAAGAACTCTAGAGACCGTCACATGGGAAATCATGCCAGATTTAGAGCGCTGTCGGCATTTGGAAACACGAGGTTTCCCCTCAGTTCCTCAAGTTCTGTGGGTCCTCCTCCTGGGCTCTGGGCACCAGGTATTTTAAATCAACTTTTCCTGTTCTCGAGACTGAACTCACAGAAAGGAACTGGCAGCTCTCTTCTCCAAAGAGCCCGTTGGCTATGCTGAGGGAAAATGGAGTGCCCAGCCTGTGCACTTGGGTGAGAAGCGACTGGAAGCCCCTGTGAAAGTCCTCTGCGTTTAATGCCAGCGTCTTCGAAGGAAGTCAATGCACATTGTCAGTGTTGTCCTCTGGTCTCACAGAGAGTTTACCAAAGCAAAAGTTTGTTCACAAGTATTCCATAAAATAATCCTGTGCAAGGCACTTGTTGTTGTCTTGGTTTGGGTGCTTATTTTTCTGAGTGAAGTCTAACTACATAGCCCAGGCTGCACTCAGACTCATGGTGGTGCTCCTGCCTCAGAGTCCTGATGTGAGGATTCTGGGCGTGCAACACCGTCTCCAGTGAGGAGCTTCACTTTAACTGAGCAGTGCATCCTGCAGAAGAACTGGTGGAGGGGTGATGCACAGATCGGAGACGGGAAGTAAAGGGAGCAAGGGTGTGGCTCTTCAGCCTCTTCTAGATGCAGGGGGAGTGAGGGAAAATGAAAGTGGCCATGGAAGCTAGAATGGAGCTGTTCTAAGGCCTGCATCTCTGGATGGGCAGGAATGCACCAGACACAGGAAGAAACTATACGTGAAGCATATTTCAAAATGAGAGATTTGGTTAAAACACTAAAACTGCAAGGAAAATGTTCTGGAAATAGAACCACAATGGAAATATTAAAAGGATATAAAGGTATAAAAGAACAACTTGCTAACAGGACTAAAACAAAGTTCTTAAAATTGTATCCTGAGAGATTACTTATTGAATATATTTGTGTTACTACAACATTTTATAAAATATATATTAGGCTATAGAGTAATTGTAATTGATTCAGAATTAGAAACTTTATGGAGACTACAGTTCAGCATGGTAGTGCAGGCCTGGAATCCCAGAACTGGGAAGCTGAGGCAGAAAGATTGCAAGGTTGAGCTCAAGCTCAGCAATTTAGGGACTGAGCAAGAATATCTCAAAATAAAACAAGGGCTGAGGATGTTGCTCAATGTGAAGAGTTTGGGCTCTATGTCATAGTACAGAGAAAAGGCATTGTATGGATTTTAGGCTCTGATATTAATGTATTACAGGAGAAATTGAAACTACTAATAAAATACCAATAACATGGAAATAATCCTTCTGTGGAATTGCTAAAAACACTTCTTTGTGCCTAGAATGGTGGCAGACACCGATAATCTCAGTACTCTGAAAGGATGAGGCAGGAGGATCTAAATATCAAAAGTTCGAAAAATAAATAAACAAATAAATAAGTTCAAGCCCAGCCAAGCCAACCACGTAATTGAGGAAGACTTTCAAACAATTTTTCAAAAGTTGGGAACAAAGAATTTTTAATGGGGCTGGATCAGTGTGAAGGATCTGTGTTCATGTTGGAGTAGTTAGAAGAAAAATAGCTCTTTTCTAAGTAAATAACTAACGTCCCCAGCAATCTATTCTATTCTAAATAAATAATAGTTCCATGTAGACGTGTGTACTTACTCTGCTTCAATCATTATACAATTAATGCTATAGTCATCAAAACACCACTCATTCCACAAAAACATAGAATTCTTAAGCTTTGGTGCATCTAAATTTTTTAAAATCTACAAAAAAGAGGATATGACCCTACCCATGACAATGGAAAAACAGGAAAAGTAACAGAGAACTACTTCTTAAAAGACTTAGGTGGTCTTCAAAAACCTTTTTTCTAACACTTAACAATTTTGTTCCTAACGATACTGCTCCATCGTAGGAAAACTTGAAGAGCTACAAAATCATTGGATAAGGCTTAATGGTTACTGGTAAGAAAATGTGAAAACTTGAACAAAGGCCACTCTATTGCAAGCTTAAAACATGGTTTGGAGGGTAAATTTTTTATGAGTTTGACCACAGGAACTATATAAGAAAGCAAAGTTTCACTTAAGATTGAGGCATCACTGTGATCACTGGGAGCTAACTCCCATCGAGTACGTGCTTATAGAAATCATCTCACCGAATCCCCGCAGGAATTGGGAGAACATTGATAGAATCAGAGACACAGTTCATAATCAATGAGTTAAATCTCAACCCGAAACAGGCCCGCGGACTGGACGAAAATGCTTTCCATGCTCACAGGTCTGTCTCTGCAGGCTGAGGCCATAGGAAACTTTCTTGCCTACTGCTGGAATCATTAAAGCTTTTGATAACACGAAAAATCAAGCCATCTTTAGAAATCCTTCCACAGCGATAGTGTTGCAGAGGCCAGGACTGTGTGTGACTGCATCGTGTGCTCAGGGTGTGAGTGCCCCGGATCAGGTGGGTTCAGGGAGCCCAGGCTGGCCCCCCTGCAGCAGCCAGGAAAGTGGGAAGAGTGTCCCTTACCAGAAACCTGAGAGAACTCAGAGCCTAGAGGACCCTGAGAGCCACCAGAAGGAATTGCCCCGCTGGGCCCTGGCCTCAGGGCCTCCCAAGGGGAGCAGGAAATGGGGAGAAGCTGGTATTACTGAGAGGGTCCTCTGGGCAGTGCGGGTCACCCTGAGACCAACATGACGGAGCAGAGCACGCCCTGTGCAGAGCTCCACGCAGGGTCAGCGGGTGCCAGGGAGCGGCCTTCTGGGTTTTTCTCAGCACCTGTCTCCTGCCCGCCCTGTGATCCCCTAGGGGCAGGGACAGGGCTTCAGATCAGATGAGCCCTGGTGAGGCCCACAGCACCCACTGCAGCCTCCAGGCTCCCTAGAGGGATGGAAACCTCCTTTCTGGCCTGGCCCAATCCTGTTTTGTTCATCCCCTCGCTGAGATAGCAAGGCACCAAAGAATAATTACAGCTGCAAAGTCTTGTGCTCCAGGAGGAGTCAGAGCTCAGGGACTTATGTTTCAAATAATTCCAGCATCCTTTTCTTTTCTTTACCCCTCCATGGTGTTGGGGATCAAACATGAGGCAGTGCTCACCACAGCACCACCCCAGCCTCAGCTCATTTTCTAAACAAAGTGCCAGGCAAATTTTTGTGTATTTTCTGGGTAATATTTGGGGAAGATCCCCAGTCTCTCCACAACCACCGCAAAAAACACAATAAGCCAGGCAGAGGCCAGCATACCCGGACTATCTGGGCCTCTGTGCTGCCCTTGGCCCCCAGCAGGACCATGACTAAGGTGGAGAAGACTGAAGGGAGAGTAGAAGACATGCGCCCAGGGTTCTCCTGACCAAGAAGCTTTAAAAGGCGGATGGCAAAGGCACCACTGGCTTCCCACAAGGAGTTCATGATGCAGTCTAGAGGCAAAGACCAGAGGGCCACGTCATGCCACTCACCCCAGTGTCCTCTGTCCAGAGTTCTAGTCACCTGGAAACCGTGGCTTTGGTTTTTCACTGCAAAGCTTCCACATATTTTAAGCTGGACCCCAAAAGGTCCACTTACTGCCACTCTCTTTCCAAAACTATGCCCAGATTGTAGGGGAATTAGCCAGCTGTGATGAGGGCACCAGCCCAGAGCAGCCTGCGGGCCTCAGGGAAACCACAGACACTCTCATCTGCACAAGGCCAGGGACAGATGCACGTGCGGGAACTCACACAGAAGACATGGTCGCCCAGGTCAACTCCGTTCCTTCCCCCATAAGGACTAAGGAGCAGGACTGAGTCAGGGATGAGGAGGAGGAGAAGAAAGAAGGGGAGGAGGAGGCACAGAGAGGGCGACCCAGAGTGAGGAGCAGGGAGGACCTCTAGCCTGGCCTCAGCACCCCCCCTGTGCTTATTCTCACCTCTGCGTGTGGAGAATCCCTGTGTCATTTTCAGCTGTGCACCAGGCCATGAACGCACAAAGGTAGGAGCTGCTGCCTGAGGCAGGCTGAGGTCCAGTCCGCTGTGAGGCCTGAGCCTTCTGCTGCAGGGACAGCTTGGGGTCCGGCCAGCAGAGGGCGCCAGCCTGCTGTCTGTCCTGCCCTGCAGTCTTGCCTCTGAGGGTGGGCAGCCTGCATCCAGTTCAGAGTTGCTCCCCATCCTGTCCTGCTCCGGAAATCATGTGACCGAAACCCTGGACTCAGGGAAGGAACAGTGCTGTTTCTCCTGTGTTTGCTTTCACTGAAGTTTCCCTCAGAAACTGGGGTTGCTACCCTCTCTGCGCTCAGCTCACCTGGGGGACCTCCCTGGGCCTTCCCATCAGCACTCTTCCCTCACCCACTCCCAAGACCCCACCTCTGCCCCTCCCCCAATCTCTCTCCACCTCCCACTTGAGAGGCAGAGTCCTGTCTACACCTAGGCTCCTCCCCAGACCCCTGCTGCCCCTGCTGCTGTTGTCCTTATGCCACCTCCCTGTTCTCACCACAATGCAAATCGATGCAGCTCCCTGCACACTATTGCTTACTTCAGTGCTGACCTCTGCCCCCTTCCCTGCTTGCGTCGCCCCCTCTGCCCATCCTGGTCCCATCACAGTGGCCCTGAGCCCGCAGACGCTCTGTCTACTCTGAAGGACCCTGCACCCTTGCCTCGGCGCTCCCACCTCAGCCCGCATCTCAGGGCAGCCCAGGCTGCCTCCCTCCCTCAGTTCCATCCATGCCGCCCTCCCTGCTGTGCTGCAGCCTCTCCCAGGGACTGTGCTCTGCCTGCAGGATGTGGGGCAGGCACCCAGAGCCACAGGGGAAGAGGGCTCAGGTGAAAGAAGGCTTCTGTTTCTTGGGGGCCAGTGACAGGAGACAGGAAGGGACACTGGGTGCTGAAGGAGACTGGGATTTGATCAGGACCAGAACAGACAGAGGAACCAGGGCGGGCTGCTGTAGGGAAGACAGGCTGAGAGAGGTGGCCAGGACGGCCCTAGGGAGTGAGGCCAGCTGTGCACCCTCAGCTCCAGAGCTGCAGCTGCAGGCTCCACTTGGCTATGCCCAGGTCTCTCTGCAACCCAATGTGTCCCCAGGGCGGGAACCTGGTAGGTTCGCACCCATCCCATCACACTGGGCCTCACCTTCCAGGGTGTGCCACCCCACTGTAGGCTGAACCCCGCTGGATCAATGGCAGGACATGGACCTCTGTGTGGGGTGGCCCAGGAAGCCCAGGCTTTGTGGCCCTGAGTCCTTGGATGTTTCCGGCTATAGAGGTGGGGCTGTCCAGTCCTGTTCCTTTCTGTCCTCCTTCCCGTCTCCTGGGCAGCTGAATGTACCCCTTGGTCACAGGGACCCTGCCGGGGCAGAGACCTTGCTAATGCCCTATTGCCACAGAGGATGCCAAACCTTGCCCTGGAAACATTTAAAGTGTGAAAGTGAAAGCAGATCAGAGGGAAGCTCAAGAACCAGAAGTGAGGGGGATGCTTGGTCTCCCAGCACTGGGACAGGCTGAGGCAGGAGGATGGTGACTTTGAGCCCAGCTTGTGCAATGTAGAGAGAATTAGTCCCCAAATTTTAGAAAAGGGGTGGGGTGGGGCTGAGGATATAGGACAGTCCTAAATTCAATCCCCACTACAGCCCCTGACAAAACCAAACAACAAACAAAATCAGAAGAGACAACTAGGAACCCAGACTCTCCTAACTCCAGAAAGCCAAAGGGGAATGAGAAGCTCAGACTTCCCTGGGGAGGTCAGTCCCCTTTTACACAAAGGAGCCCTGGAGATGAAGTCAAAGTGTCTGCCCAGTGCTGCCCCTACTCACTTGGGCCGGTTCTCACCCAGGACCCACACAGAGCTCAGGTCCCAGCTCCTAGGAGCCCCACCCTCCTCTTCACTGGACCTGGGCCTGAGTGCTGCTGTGTCCTTCTCTTCTAGCCTGGGGTGGACACTGAGAGGAACTGGCTCAGGACAGGGACTTTGTCCGCTCTCAGCAATTGAATTCTCAGAGGGAGCTGAGACCCTCGGGGTCTATTGGGTTAAATAAAGCTTAGTTCTTGCGGGCTAGTTAAGCCCGCAATCTGCCAAGTGAGTGGACTACAGAGGCTTCAATAAATGAGCAAAATGAAATGATTTCAGGGCTCCAGGAGGGTCTCACTGTCTTACAGCTTTGATATTCTCTGAGTTTAGACAAAGACATCTCTGGGCAGCCCCTGTTTATTTGGTTTACAAAGGAGGGGGATACTGAAGAAAATGCACCCATCTGGGCAGGACTTCTCCAAGTAATGCATTATGTTAATTTAGGAGAACTATGCTATCTCCAGGAAGGCCTTGTCTGCAGGAGTGAGATGCTTGCAGCTGCAGTCTCCTTTAAGTTAGTTGGGGCACAGCCAGATGTCCTCACTGTGGCCTTTTCTTGTCCTTAGAGGCCTCACAGCTCCACAGGCCAATACAGGCCTCAGGGTGACCAGGGACTCACACAGGTTCACTTACTATGAGTCCATCGCCCCTCCCCAGACAATGTACCTAAGCTTCGGACAACTCACAAGTAAACATGGAAAGGAAATTGGTTAATATTAAATCCTGCTCAGGCCACTCTGTAGTGGTCTCCAGCAGTCCCCAGCCTCAGTGGTGCCCCAGTGCAGCCTCAGACCGGAGGCCAGTGGAAGCCTCTGTGACCATTTCCTGAGGAGCACAAGGCGCAGGAAGCTTTCTGGGGAGCAGGGAGCTCTTCCCAAGGCTTCTCTGTCCACTTTGAAGCGGCTCAACACGCCTGCAGTCTCCTGAGTCCTAGGCCTGCTGGGTCTTCTAAAGGAACCCGCTCGGGTGCCAGCCCTGTCTTGGGAGGACCCTGTTCCCTCCCCCAAGAGGTAGGGAACCTTACATTTTGCTTCACTTAGCAAAAACAAAACAAAACTGCACTCAAATAGAACATACACAACATAATACAGGTAAGAGAAAAATTCTGAAGTTCCAGAGTTAGGTCCCTGCAGGAGGAGCGGAAGGTAATGGTAAGAGTTTATATTAATGGACAGCTTCCAGCGAAGCCAACAATGAAAACAATTTTTCTGCCTCCTCTCCTCACACACTGAAGATGGACCACTGGGGCCACGTCTCCTTATGTGCTGGGGGGAAAAAAAAAAACACAAGAGCAAAACTTTCCTGCAGGGAGCAGCCTGGACTGGGCTGGCTCTGCCTCCATCTCTGCCACACTCCCATGGGAAGGGGTTTCTTCTGCCATTCTCATGTCCTGCTCGCTCTCACTGATGACACTGATATGCCCAGACCCCACTCCTGGACTGCACACCCACTCTGAGGCTGCCTGCTTTGCCACTGAAAGCAGCCTCTGCTTGGGGCTGAACTTACTTCTGATGCAGAGATTTCCACATTCCCACCCTGGCTATAGGGCAATGATGTCTGATGCTGGAAGCCCTCAGAGGCCTCCGCACCAGGGACGCCAGGTACCCTGACCCATCCTTCTCTTGCTATTGACACCGTACCATGATCCGGTGAGGTATAAAGAAAGAGGATTCCCTGGTCTCAAGCTTCTGTGGAAGGTGGAAGGGCCCCATCTAGAGATATTCTTGCACACAGAGCCTGAGTGGGGTAAAGCAGCACATGGGAAGAAGCAGAGACCTCCAGAGAGACCCAGCAAAACCGGCTGTGATGCCAGATCCACTCTCAATACCCATTAAACCATTGGTTACCTGGGGATTAGTGGGTCCCTTCCTGAGCGCAGAGTGGTAACCATCTCTGAAAGGCCACACCCAGCCTCCTTTCTTAACATCTTGCCATGAGAATTATAATCAAACATGAGTCTCAGAGGGTCAAAGTGTAACGTACACAGGAAAAATTCTAAGTTCAACTAACAAATGGGACAGTACAGACTGAGAGGTCTTCTTTCCTTAAATGATTCAGCAATTGTTTCCCCACCTCTCCTTGGAGACTTTGACACTTAAAGCCCTCCTGAGACAGTTCTTTAGCAAGGAGGTCTTTCCTTCACTGAAATGATATCACTTGATATCCAGGACTGGAAATGTTACAACCAAAACAAGCAGGTGAAAATGCATAAAAAGGACCAGAGCAGAAATCAATGATTTGAAAACAATGAAGGGATTCAATTGAAAACTTGGAAGAGCTTCCTTGAGAAAAATTAAATGGATAACACCCTAGTGAGTTGATGTGGGGGCAGAGGTCTCACTACATACCTGAGGCTGGCTTGAAACTCATGCTTCTCCTGCCTCAGCCTCCTGAGTGCTGGGTTTACAGATCTGCACCACCAAGGCTGCTGATTCTACAAAATTTAAGTGACGGCCAGGAACTCAGAGGGAGAAGGGTGCATGAACAGCAGCTGCACCTCTTCCTGGACAAGGTAGCCTGTTGTGGAACAAGGTGCTGCTAGTTTGTTGATCAGGTGGTGCTCCATGGAGCAAGGCAAGGGTGGGCCACACCAGTTT